AACTAGAACACTACCTCAGTGCCCTTTTTGTCCTGGGAGAGGACAGCTCTGCTCCCAAGGCTGCCACCTGGGGCCTGCAGGCTTTTCCTAACACACTGCCCTCTCCAGGGGCAGCTCCTTCTGCCTGCTGTGTCTGCAACAAGCATCTCCTTCTTTCCTTTTGTGTGTGTGGGGGTTGGGCAGAGTGTGGGGTGCCTACACGCACACCACTGAAAGGAGACTTTGGTGAAACTCTTCAAAGCGGTGACCCAAGAACCCCCATCTGTGAACCCACGACCTCCCCAAAACATCACTCCTCACCAAAGTCAATGTTTCAAAAATGACGAAAGTCTGAGAAACTGCCATCCAGGCAAACTGGATGGGATTATGGAGCATAAAATGGACATTAGCAAAAACTAATGAAAGCGTGGTGTTTAGTAATTATGTAAACGTTGCTTCATTAGTTGTAAAGAAAAAAAAACAAGTTTACTCATGTAGGATGTTAACAAAATAGAAATGCTGTGGGATAAAGACCTGTACTTCCTTTGCAACTTTTCTGTAAGTCTCACAGTAGTCTTTAAAAGTTACTTTTTTAAAAGATTTATTTATTTTATGCATACAAAAACTGGGTACAGACCAGAGGTGTGGGGTGTGAGAGGATTCACCAGAGACAGAGTGGGAACAGAACAGGCAGATTGACTGAAGTACACTGCTGGGGGAGCAGCAGGTGAGTCAGGGAGGTCTGCTGAGCCATGTGGGTATCCCCCTGGCTGGGGATCATACTTGTGCTGCAGTGGCTGCAGACTGCTTCATAGGCTGCGTTGTAGCCCTGTGCCACCAGGAGGCCCCCCAACTCTGAGAATTCTTTTGAATTCTTTGTGTGCATTAGTCTTTTCCAGACTCCAGAACAGCGCGCCAGCACCCCCGTGTGGCCACAGGGCTGAGCACAGGAGACCAGAGCTGCCCTTTCCCCTGCTCAGCCAGGCAACCCCCCCCTTCCCCCCCCGCCCCCCCGCAGCTCCCTGGGCTCCAGCGGCAGGACAGGGTTCCGCACACAAGGGGGCGCCCAAGTATGTGTCAGTTTATCCTTACTTTTAGTCTCCAGTGATCTCCAGGACATAACAACTGGTTCCTAGGTTCTGGGCAAATCCCCAAATACATAGGCTGCCTCAATCTTTTGGGATGGAAACTTAGATCCCAGGGTCCCTGTTAATTTGTTTCTGCTTCTGCTTCCAAGGACGAAAGCCCCTCCTCCTGGGAATCACCTTACATACTCCATCCTTTGGAGGAGGGAAGGGCCTGGATAGCCCCAGGGCACTGGCTAGGAAGATAGGGAGACTCCTGGAAAAGAAAGCAGAGGATGGAAATGGGGACTTTAGGAGACAGAGGTGGAAGGGGTGCAGTGGGGAGCCAGAGAGGACCAGGCAGGGAAGGGGCAGCATTGGGGACACTGTGGGGAAAGGTCTGTGTGGGTGACACGGGGCTCTCACTGGGGGCTGGGAGTGTCTCTGTCTCACCTGGTGGGATGCAGCAGTGCTGGCCTGTAACTGCCCAGGGAACCACATACATTGGGGCCTGAAGGAGAGGACATGTAACAGGGTGGTCCCAAGGGGAGGATCCAGTTTCCCTGTCCCACCCAAGGGGGTGGAGCTGAGCAGGGAGAAGCAGCTGGAGAGGAGACTGGAGAAGGAAGGAAGCAGGATGATCAGGAGACCTGGAAGAGACACATGGAGCCGAGAGACACGTGAAGACTTGCACTTACTTCTTGGCCTTGGACTGGTGGCACAGATGTGGGTGAGAGACCCGTGGGAGGTTACAATGGCAGCTTCTATCTTGATTTTGCTCTTTCCTTCCAGACTTGTCAGCCTCGTCCACTCCTTTTCCCCAGGTCCCTGCCAGGAGGTGCTTTAGGTGGCAGGCATTCAGGCCCTGCTTGGGGCAACCCTGTTGGTTGAACATTTACCCACAAGGGATGGTGACTTTGAATGTTGATTTGGAAATTTTATTCTTTCCTTTTTCTTTGTTGCACACTAATTGTATTAAAATTCCTTTCATTAAAGGTCTTACATGTTTTGTCTTGATGCAGCAGATGGCAGAGTATGGGGGAGATAGATGGATAAGGGGAGTCCTTAACCCCTCCTTACCCAGAACAAACCCCTCATTTCCCCAATGCTGGGTGTCAGGAGATTCAGGGGCCAAGAGGAGGGCAGAGCAAGGCCTGAACCACCCTGGAGGACCAGCCCCGCGGGCTGATTCTGGGGGTCCAGGGCCCCACTCCCTGCAGGCAAGTCACAGCCAGCCCCCCTCACAGCTCCAGGCCACTGACAGCCCCTCTGTGCCATGACCCTGCAGACACCGCTCTAGGATAGCGTGAAGAAAAAGAAATGAACAACAAAATTAAGTGGAATCTAAAAAAGGTAGAAATAATTTTTTCAAATCATGTTTATTTATTTTTTTTAAAGATTTATTTATCTATTTATACAAGCACTGGGTACAGTCAGAAGCGTGGGAGGGTGAGAGAATTCACCAGATCCAGAGCGGAGAGCAGAGCAGGCAGACTGATGAAGTACACTGCTGAGGGGAGCAGTGGGCAGCAGGAGAGGCAGCGTGCCATGTGGACCCTCGCCCGGCAGCGGGGATCGAACCAGAGCTGCAGAGCTGCGGCGGCTTCACAACCCACGCTCAACCACTGCGCCACCGGGGAGGCCTAAATCATGTTTATTTTGAAAGACACTTCAAGGGACATGGAATCTTTGTCTGACGCTCATTGTTATCATGGTCTTGACTGTCACGGAGTTACTCTGGCGCACCTGTTTTTGTGAGAAACAGTCACTGATCAGTTTATTGCCTTAATTTATTAGTGGATTGTACAAAAATCACTGCCTGCTTTGTACCTAAAACAAAGATCTGGCATCTGGCTATGCATTCCACCCACCAGGACAACTCTTGCCTGGCCTCCCTCCTTGGGACGGGTTGAACTAAAACCAGGGAACCAAAAATGTTCTGGCAGTTTCCCAGAGAAATCAGAAGGCACTCAGAGAGGTGGAGAGAGAGAGATTTAATTGTCACACCAGTGGGCTCAGTGGGATCGCTCCCCGAAGTGCTGAGCATCCAGAACAAGAATGGCAAGGCTTTACACAGTTTGTAAGAGAAACTTGCTACCCCATCCATCATAGCATAAGCATTCTTCATTGTTCAGGAAAGGGTTCAAGGTAGTCATGGCTATGACCACGGACAAGCCTTGTGGTACACCCAGCAAGTTCTCTACTTCAGCAAGCAGCAGAATCAAAGCGGTAGACTCCCCCATGCAGCAGATTGGGAAGGCAACAGAAACTAAGCATCAGACTCCCCTAGCAGTAGGCTTGGGAAAAGTCATGCTTCAGGTTATCATTGTGCTTTAAATCAGGGGATCGTGAATGGATCAAGAAGGTGTGGTCCACATATACAGTGGGACACTACTCTGTTATAAAAAAACATAAACTCATGCCATTTAGGAAATATGGATGGGGTAGGAAGGGATACTAAGCTTGATAAGTCAGAAGAAAAAAATAAATATCAGATGGTTTCCCTTATATATGGGATATACAGAAATGAAACAAAGGGTCAGAATAAAGACAAAACTTGCAGCCTGATCCTAGATCTGAGGCCTACAGAAGGGGAAGAGAGAGAGATGGTTCCAAACAGGGAGGGAAGAGCACAAGGGACTGTAGTGATGGATCATGGTTCTATGGTGGTGAGAGAACTATAAGGACTACACCTGAGAGAGAGAAATCAAATACGGTACAAAAATAACAATGATGCAAGAGAACAAATGAATAAATTTACTAAAATTTTTTTTTTCAATTTTTTTTTTAAAGAGGCATGTTTATTTATTGTTTGTTTGTTTGTTTTGTTTATACATGCACTGGGCACAGTCAGAAGTGCGGAGGGTGAGAGAACTCACCAGAGCCAGAGCGGGAGGCAGAACAGGCAGAAGGACCGAGGTACACTGCTGAGGGGAGCAGCGGGCGGCAGGAGAGGTCTTGCGCGCCATGTGGGACCCTCCTCCGGCGGCCGGGGAGCAGCGGGGATCGAAACGGCGCCGCAGGGCCGCGGGCAGCTTCGCAACCCAGCGCTCAACCGCTGCGCCACTGGGGAGGCCAAATTTAATAAAAATTTTGATATCACTCACTGAAAGCTAGAAAACAAATTAAATAAAGCAGAGGATCCTGAAGTTACAAAATGGGGGGAGAGAAATCCTATAACATTCAGTCCCACACAAGGCAGAGCGCTCATTCTATGATGGAAAATAACATTGAAGAAAATCAGGTGAATTACATTAACTGATAACATTCTCAACAGTCCACTGCATCCTAAGACTGTCCCACTCACAGCTGCCCACAGCCTGGGCCCATCCTTGGGGTGTCCAAGGCAGTGAGAGACATCCCAGAGTCCTGGGTCCTGTTGCTGCCTGAGGAAGCATAGAAGAGACCTGGTCAATGCTCAGAGTGAGACCCTCAGAGGAAACTGATGAGGGCGATTCTCCCTAGAGTTCCCTCTATGCTGTCCTCAGGGGCCCAGGATCCAACCCCTGATCCACACTTACCTGCAGCCTGACTGTAGCTGACTGCATGTGCCCCTGTGGAAGAAACATCATGTGAGACAAGGGAGGAGTCAGGTGACAAGTCTTAAAGGAATCCCCAAGTCTGGGTCACAGGGAAGTTTTTGGAACAGAGACTGAAGACCCAGGTCAGGTCTGGGATATATGAAGAATGGATATGAAAGGGAATTGGAGTCTTTCCTTAGCAGGGTCCTTCCCCTATGACATTTACTGGGAAAGCAGATCTCCATCACCACATTTATAAGGTGAACAATTGGTGATTCATTTTCATAAGTGCTTTACAAAAGAGTGAGTGTTCCTAATCAGCTCCAGACTGGGCAACACATGTGTGTGGATCATACTCCCTACTAAGCAGGAAGGGCAAGTTCTCATTGGGACATGAAAGCCCCCAGTGAACAAGACCCCCCACTCCCTTCCCTACCTGAGTGCGTATTCCTCCACCACACAGCTGCAGCCACCGCAGCTCCAGTGAGCACAGCTCCAAGGAGAACCAGGCCAACAAAGATGCCCGCAGTGGGACGGAGGACTGAGAGGGGGCACTGGAAGGGAAAGAAGGTGAGACCCTGAGCCCCAAGCCCACCCTGACCCTCTGAATGTCTCCAAAAGGGCTCCTGATTCCTCTGAGCAGAGGCCCAGTGCCCACATCCCCTTCCTTACCCCAAGTCAGGACTGCAGGCTCCAACAGCCCCTCATGCTGCACATGGCACGTGTATCTCTGCTCCTCTCCATAAGGCACCACCACAGCCACCCACTTCTGGAAGGTTCCATCCCCTCCAGGCCTGGTCTCCACCAGCTCCGTGGCCTGGGTCTGGTTCTCCCCATCATGCTGCCAGGTCAGGGTGATGTCCGCAGGGTAGAAATCCAGGGCCCAGCACTTCAGGGTGACCTTCTGGTCAGAGTTGGGGTGGTGGGTCATTTGTGTTTTGGGGGATCTGAAGAGAATGGTCAAAAATTAACACTTTGGGTTTCCTTGTGGATACTGAAGCAGCCTCATTGACCATCTCAGAATGGACATGACAATTGGTTTGGAGGGAGGAAGCACAAACCCAGAAATCAGCCTTCTCTGGGGACTCTGTGGGTCTCTAAGGAGAACACAGACTTTTGCGCCTGACCTGGGTGGAGGGTGCATGACACAGAAAGGCAGGAGTCAGATCCAGAAATGTTCTCAGACCAAAAACAAGACCTTGAAAGAGAAAATCATGGTTCCCAGGATGGCTGCCGGGTCACAAGGATCCAGGGAAAAGTTATTTCAGGATGGCTTCCCTCCCTCAGGAGAGACTGGATTCCTTAACCTTCCAGAAAAGTGGTGTTTCTGGGCGAGTCTCTCTCTAGCACAGAACATGAAACCCAGGGGACTCTCCCTCTCTGCCCAGAAAGCAGGTGCTGTTCTTCCCATTATTCCATGTTCCCTGTGGGGCGCCAGGAGAGGGGAGGTCCGAGGCCTCGTGGCCCCTCTTACCTGTGCGCTGCAGCACCTCCTTCCCCATCGCAGGAGTCTGCGGAGCCACAGGAAGCACCTGCCCTGTATACTGTTCCTGACGCTCTCGGCCCTCCCCTGTGCCTTCCACTCGCACTGGGTGATCTGAGCCACCAGGTCCGCGGGGATCCAGGAGCGCAGGTCCTCGCTCAGGGAGATGAAATCCGCGCCGTCGTAGGCGAACTTTTCATACCCGCCGAGGAGGCTCAGGTCTGGCCCCGCTTCACAGCCACACATGCTCTGGAGGGTGTGAGACCCTGAGCCCCACCCCTGTGGTCAGCTCGGAGGTCACCCCGAGGTCACCCCTAACCCTCACCCTGAATAACCCTAAACTGAAATGAAAGGCCGGCAGGACAGTCCCTTCCCGGGGGAGGGTCCTGGCAGATCCACCAGCCTCGAGGGGTTAGCGGACCCTAAGACCCGGAACAACCCGGCCTTACGGTGGGAATGGGGGGTGACCTGACCCTGGCCCCGCTCCGCGAAGCTCACCGTCCTCGCTCTGGTTGTAGCGGCCGCGCAGGTCCCTCAGGAGCGCTTCGAACCACAGCACGTTTCCTTTGGATCGGACTCTCCTTGTCCAGGTCCTCCTGCCCCACCTGCCCCGCCCAGGGCGCCCGCAGCTCCACACTCTGGCCCGGAGAGTCGCTGTAAAACCGTCCAACCTGGGTGTCATCCACGTAGCCCACGGCGATGCGGCGGGGCTCTCCGTTGCCTTTACCATTACCACGCCATTGCCTTTGCTGTTGCTGTTGCTGTTGCTGGACATCGGGTGTAGAAAAGCCTCAGGGAGTGGGAACCTGGGGGCGGGAGGGGAGACCCGGGCTGACCCTCCTCTCAGCGCGGGCCCAGGGCCCAGGGAGATGGGCCTGGAGGGGAGACAGGGGCGGGCCGTGAGAGTGAAAAGGGGGTGGGCCAAGAAGGGTCCAGACTCAGGGGCCCAGAGCACTCAGGGGAGGCGGGAGGGACAGAAGGGGCCAGAACACAAGTGGCCTGAAGGGGAACAAGAGGTTGGGGGAGATGAGCCTTTCCTGGGGTCCTGCATCCGCAGGGGGCTCCTTGCTCCTCCCTCCTGGAGCAACAGTGTCCAGCTGGACACGCACTCACCTGCCCGGGTCTCCATCAGGGCCAGGGCCCCCAGAGCAGCAGCAGGAGGGTGAGGGGCATCACACTCCTTTCAGGGGCCTGGGGAGAAGGAGTCCAGGAGAGTCCTTGGAGACTTTGTACTGGAGCAGGATGATGCTGATTGTCTTCCCTGGACACCCCAGGAAATGGGGAGAGAGAATGGGGTGGGGTGGGGTCATCCAGGCTGTCCCACCCCACAGAACCTGTGAGATGCTGTAACAGTGTGACATCCACAGAAAAAGTGTGGCTCCAAATTCCCTTCCCCACATTAGGGAGGGGTGAATTTGGGAGAAGCAGCAGCCTGGAGGAATGAAGAAGAAACTAGTAGTATTTTCAGATCATTGTGATTATTGACACTAAATTAAATCTGCACAGGTGGCAGATTCTGGAAGGTTATTTGCTAAGTGAAACGTGAAATAATATGATGGAATATTTCCTATTCTGTTACATTTCCATAGGCCTCTCTTGCATATATGGTTGGAACTTTTGCTAATGTTATGATTTTTTAAGCTGATACATTGTTTCACTAAGTTACATAGATCTTCAGTGTTAATTACACTAGAATCAAATGATCAAAAAATTTTTATTTTTAATCACAAATCCAAAAGAAAAGTTTGTACTGTAAATTGTCAAGTAGTGATGCACTCAATTTTTCATAATTCTGATTTTTTCTGAGAGCTTTATATTTTATTAGGCAAAATTACTGTCATTTGCCAATTGTTGATTTTCTTCAAGAAACAGACACTCATTTTAAGGAAAGTGTCTCCTAATTAACCCACAAATAAAAAGTGTCTAATTCATCTCATACAAATGTTTCCCTTGGGACTCAGTGCTTGGAGATGCTGCAGAAGTGTCTGTGTGTCCTTCCAGGTCAGCACACCAGGTATTTTAAAATGTGGAGTTGAGGATGATGCAATAATGAAGATAATTTTTTAATGCTTTTTTCAGGAAATTTTCAGGTGAAACTGGCTTTGATTTCTGTAACTGCAGGTAAGTGCTGGTGGAGAATCACTACTTCTGCAGTGGTACCATTAATCACCACTCTTACTAATTTTACCTCAGCAAATGCCAAAATAGTGAAAAAGAGAAATGGTGTCTAAGTGATGTTTTGAAAATAGTTTTACCTCATGGACCCCATGAAAGGTTTCTGGTGACTTCAAGTGCTCCACAGACCACACTTTGGGAAATGCTTTTCTCAGGGAACCAGGGAGCATCTCCCAAGTGTTCTCTGCCTTTGCCTCCCCTTCACTTCCCAGCATCCCTCTCCCTGGCTGGCTCCTGCCTCCCCAAGCTGCCTCCCCTGAAGATACAATGGGGAGCAGAGAGAGGGCCCCTGGAGACATGGAGCTTGCACTGTCAGGAGAGATGGACACTGAGTAAAGTGACAAAGGCACATGTAAACCCCACCTGAGCCCCGTGCTGGGAGGAAGGAACATGTTTATTATGAAAGCAGAGAAGCAGGAGCCCTAACAGGACCCGACCACTACTATAAATAGTATCAAAAGATGTAAAAAATATATATATTACAAACAAATTAAGCATAAGAAAAAGATTTTATCTCTCCCATAACTGTCACTTCTGCCCCTGACACACGTGCTCTGGCCCTATAGACCCAGCCTGCCCCCTTTTCCTCAACCCCCCTCCATGTCCTGCCCCAGGACCCAACCATATTAAGGAGGCCTGTAGCCTAATCTACAACCCAGTCCTGGCCCCATCCTCATCCTCATCTGCTCTTCCCTCATTTATTATGCGGCTGAAGGACAGGCCTCCCCAAGATGTTCAGAAAGGGTCCCCAAGACAGGTCACTTTGGCATGTGAATTATTTCCATCTGAGGTTCATCAGGGGTTCATCTTAAGAAACATTTACCACTTCTATAACTACCTAGTATGAAAGTTGGTGGTCTTACCCAAAATTAGGGTTATTACTGGAAACGAGCTTTGTACCCAAGAAACCTACCTATATGTCAGGGCAAACATAATTGTAGAACATCTGGTCTTCATCTTTTAAAACCACCCTGTCCTTGCCATGTGACCGCTCCTCTCTCCTAGATACCAGGCCCCATCTCACTCCTTAGCTCAGGAGACACACCCTCGTTTCCTGCACACTTTCAGACACTCATTAAGATGTAGATTCCCTATGCATATATAGGGAAATTTGGTTACTTTCTAGTACTAAAAAAAAAAAAGGGAAAAGAAAGAAAAGATGTTATAAAATTTCATGTACTCAGAATAAGAGTTCCTGAAAATTAGAGATTTAATCATAGAAATGAATAAATCAGTAGATGAGCTGGAATATTAAAGTCTTGCTTCCACTAACTAATGTAAATGGAAAAGGAATGACAAGCAGCGAGAAGACCTACAAGAAACTGACTCTATTGAGCAGAAGATTCCAACTAGTTTATAATACAAATTATTAAAAATAATGCAAATATTAATGTTAATAATACAATATTAATAATACAAATTATTAATTATTAATAACTCAAATTATTAATTATTAGAGTTGAAATGTGAAAATTCAAGAAAATCCCTGAGCACTCAGATAAAATGTGCACGCTGAGTGTCTCCCGGGTTTCCTCCTGCAGAGGATGAGCAGCCCCACACCATGACGCACCCCAGGGACTTTCAGAAAGAGGCTGGAGAAGGACAGACCTTGGGGCCCTCAAGAGACAATTCAGTCCTGGAGGCCAGAAGGCCCTAGAGCTAGGCCTGCCCAGTCCTCAGGGGAATCCAGCCCAGACCCCATGTCAGGCCCAGGTGAGGGAGGCGCTGGGGCAAAGACATTCACTTCAGCTGTGCGTGGTCTCAAGCAGTGACTGTTCACGTCCCTCCTCTATTGGGCAAAGGACCACTAGCGGGCAAAGGGGGAAACAAAGATGATGACACAGTGAACAGGACACAGGAAAATCAACTACAGGGGAGCAGGACAGAGGGAGTCCAGGGTCAGGTGAGGGATCCGGGTCTTCAGCCCTGCCCAGGTGAGCAGGACCTAGGCCCCGGAGGCAGGACTGAGGCTGTGGAACAGGGGTCTGCCAGGATGAAGTGGGCAGAATAGCTGGTGTTGTGGGATATGTCCATGGAGATTCTGACCTGGGGTGGTCTTGGGGGCGATTAGGAATGAGCACAACAGGAACTAAGCTAGTGAGGGAACAAGGTAATTATAACTGCAGGGCCAATAAAAAAAAGCAATCCAAGAAGAAAAGCATCCTGGTCTACTCACTGCTCAGCTGTGACTGGATTAAAGGTCATAACGATGCAGACCCTAAATCATGTGTATCTCAACAACCTGCCAGAGAGGCCTCAGGGGGCAAATGCCTGTTCTGTGGATCTGAGGAGCCACCTTGAGGCCTCCTTGCCACTCAGCCAGCTCTTAAGGCCTGGGCAAGAGACCTGGGTGGTGTGGGCAGGGACTTCTCCGAGGTGCTGACTGAAGGATTCCTTGTGAAAGAGCAGAGAGCAGGGCAACCATCAAGGGCCCTAGAAAAGCTGCCAAGAAGACAGTGACAAGCCTCCCTAGGGAGGAGGCGGCAACTGTTCACCCAAGAGCTGAAGCATAAGGAAGAAGCAAAGTCACCAGGCCCTTCAAAACATGCCCCTGTGCCCAGAACATGCTCTGTGGTGCCCCAGCCCTGACACAGGAGACAACTTTCCTGAAAGACACAATACAGAGTAAGGAGGACATTAACAAATGTGAACAGGATGCATCTCAATCGATGCAGGTATCAGTAGAGACAGACCAGGCCAAGTCCAGGGAGCAGCTGCTGCAGAACCTCAAAGAGGCAGATGTGTGAGCATGTTGGAAGCTGACACTGAGGAGACACTGAAAACTCAAAGCTGTGATTTCTACCAGCCTGACAGGCTTACGGAAAAGCTTAGTGGTGGTTTCCATCCTACAGGCTGCTCAGAAAAATGGATTCATTTAGAAGGGTGGATGGGGCCTCCCTGGTGGCGCAGCGGTTGAGCGCTGTGTTGTGAAGCTGCCCGCCGGGTCTCTGTGGCGCCGGGTTCGATCCTGGCTGCTCCCCAGCACCGGAGGAGGTCCCACATGGCGCGCAGACCTCTCCTGCCGCCCGCTGCTCCCCTCAGCAGTGCACTTCGTCCTTCTGCCTGCTCTGCTCCCCGCTCTGGCTCTGGTGAATTCTCACCCTCCCGTGCTTCTGACTGTACCCAGTGCATGTATAAACAAAAACAAACAAACAAATAAATAATAAATAAATAAATAAAACATGCCTCTATAAAAAAAAAAAAAATGAAGGGTTGCATGGACAGGGCTGGAAGCCTTGACTTGCCCCCAGAGTGTGGCCACATTGTTGGGAGCTTGGATTACCATGTGCCTCAACTGTTCTGTGTCTTTGCCTTGATTATTCTTTGCTTTGACTATTCTGTGCCTCTCAGTGTGCAGAAATAGAGAAATTTTGCAGTAAGGAACCTCTCAGGGCAAAAGTCCTGGTGGAACATCTAAACGTGCAGGAACAGCAACAAGTGTGATGATGAACAGCATAAACACTAGACTTTCCTTGTCTTTCTCCCTGTTTCCCAACCTTGGCTTGGCCAGCTGGTGATGTGTCCTCCCCACACTTGTGCATTCCCCATTTGCGTGCTGCTGCTTTGGTCTTTTTCATTTTCTGTCTGATGCTAAATAAA